TGGGAAGTTCTCCCCAATCCACCATATTCTCCAGATATGGCATATTCTCCATCTTTTTCGTTCGTTGCAACACCATCTTAATGGGAAAACGTATGCAAATGTGGAAGGTGTTAAAGAGGTCTCCAAAATGTTTTTTTTTTTTGCTTCAAAGCCAAGTGACTTTTTTAATCGGGGCATTAAAAACCTGATTGTAAGATGGAAAAGCATCATCGATAGGAATGGAGACTATTGCATTTAATAAATGTTTTGTTTTCATATATAAGTTGTTCGGGTTTTTTCATCTAAAAAAAAGCGACATTAATTTCTAGACGACCTAATAGAAAGAAAATATCCTTTACATCTGAACTTTAGCAAGCTATATAAGATAGTTTTTCTTTTATGTTGGTTTCTCATTGTAGCTCGTGATTATTTTGAGCTTCCAAGATTATAGTGATCGTGTTTGCTCTCACAAGTTGGAAACGTATTTAAAACTTATAGCTATTTTTGAATAGTGTACATTATGAAATTATACATATATTTTAAACTTTTAATTGCTTAAACGTGGATTTTATTACTGAGCATGTTAATAGTCATTATCAATTATCATTCAAAGCTTCATAGCTTATGTAGTCTATGTATGAATTCTTTCAGTGTACAGATGTATATCTAAAAGCGAAAAGTAAAGTGAGAAAATTAGAATACCTAGAGCTCGAGCATGAACGTGTGACTATAGCATGCTGCTGTAGAGGATTCGAAGATCTCGAGTTCGAGATGTAATGCTACCAAAGACACATTCGTGACAGTCAATGTCGATATTTTGGTTAAGAATACCCGTTTGAGGCGTTTCAGTTCTGACGTCTCTGGTCGTTTGATAATTTACCGTAAAAATTCTTCCCGAGGAACTTCAGCGATACAAGTCCTTTCTTAAATAAAACTAGTTTATTCTTCCTCAATACAACTTTGCAATATACAGAATTTCCACAGACACTTTAACTTAATCACACGCTATAATTCACAAAGATTCACGCACTTTCTTACGGTCACTACCGCTCACTTGACTCAATTATCTATCTCTATATCTGTCTATCTGC